CAGTTCTGCTGTGGAGTCCCCGCACTGTCCCAGACCACGGGGGCCAGCGGCGTTGCAGTGACCGTGCCCGTTTGCCCAGCAGCCCTGTGTAGAACCGATTATTCTTTTCTGTTTGCTTTGAGGCTTGCCCGTTCATCTAGCCTCCAGGCCTAAGAGGCTCTAAAGAACTCTGCAGGGAATCTGGTTTGGACTTAACCACCTTCTTTTGGTTTTTTTCCTGCAGCTCAAACTCTGGAACAAATACCGAATTTCCAACATTCCATCGCTAATATTCCTAGATGCCACCACCGGGAAGGTCGTGTGCAGGAACGGGCTGTTGGTGATCCGGGACGACCCGGAAGGTAAGACCTCGGCATGAGCGGGTGGGCCTCCCGTGACCGCGCCTCTCCCGCGCCCCTCCCCTAATCCCTGCGTGGAGTCCTCTCCTGACCCTGCCCTTCCCTCACATCCCTCCCCTAAACCCTGCGTGGGGTTCTTACCAGACCCCGCCCCTCCCCCACGCCCCTCCCCTAATCCTGTGTGGGGTCCTCTCCTGACCCGGCCCCTCCCCACGCCCCAGTCTCTGCCCCACTTGTAGAGAGCACTTGTGAAACATACGTACGTGGGTGTGCGTGGCTAGAGAGTATCGTCCTGGTGAAATTACAGTATCCTCCATGGTTAGAAGATTTTTACAGGGATAGGAATGTCCCTCCTCGGGGCTTCAATTCACGGGACAAAAGAGATGGAATCCACAAAAAGGAGCAAGGCTCGGAGGCCCGAGGAGGCCGTGGGAGAGTGGGAGAGGAAAGGCCGTGGGAGAGCTCAGATCCCGGCTTCTAGCGCTGCTTCCATGGCAGCGGCCCCTTCACAGCTAGAGGCAGGCTGAGTGGGGTTTTTCCTCCTTAAAATGTTACACAGCAAAGTCCCAGTGCCTGCCTCGCTCTCCCGGCTTGGTGGTGAGCGTGCCTGATGCCTAGAGCTGCCGGCCCTGCAGGCCATAGTCTCGCTGGCCGCCCATGGAGCTGCTCCTCCAGTCCCACTCAAGGCTGTCCACGTGGCTGCTTTCCCTCCTGCACTGGAGTGAGGGCAGGGCTGTGAATCTCCTTACCTCCCTTATCCATTCAGTGAGAACATTCAAGACTGCTCACACGTTTTTCCCAGTTCAGATGTCACTAAAGACCAGGCGTGGTGGTGCACGCCTGTAATCCCAGCACTTTGGGAGGCCAAAGCTCATCACCTGAGGTCAGGAGTTTGAGACCAGCCTAACTAATATGGTAAAACCCTGTCTCTACTAAAATTACAAAAAAAAAGTAGCCAGGCATGATGGTGGGTGCCTGTAATCCCAGCTACTCAGGAGGCTGAGGCAGGAGAATCGCTTCAACCTCGGAGGTGGAGGTTGCAGTGAGCCAAGATCGTGCCACTGCACTCCAGCCTGAGCAACAGAGTGGGACTCCGTCTCGAGAAAAAAAAAAAAAAAGCCTGGTGCAGTGGCTCACACTTGTAATCCCAGCACTTTGGGAGGCTGAGGCGGGCGAATCACGAGGTCAGGAGGAGTTCAAGACCAGCCTGACCAACATGGAGAAACCCCGTTTCTACTAAAAATAGAAAAATTAGCCAGTGTGTTGGCGGACGCCTGCAGCCTCAGCTACTCGGGAGGCTGAGGTGGGAGAATCGCTTGAACCCGGGAGGCGGAGGTTGCCGTGAGCTATGATCACGCCACTGCACTCCAGCCTGGACGACAGAGCGAGACTCTGTCTCTAAATAAATAAATAAAATAAAGTTTAAAAAGTCACCTACTTCAAAGAATTGCCCTCAGTAAAAACCAGGGCATGGTGGAGGCAAACACGAACCTTTTCCTTTGTTTGGAGACAGTATCTCTGTCTCTTCCAGGCCAAGTGCTGTGGTGTGATCACAGCTCACTGCAGCCTCAACCTCCCGGGCTCACCTGATCCTCCCACGTGACTGGGACTACAGGTGTGCACCGCCACATCAGCTGGGTTTTCATTATTTGTAGAGACAGGGTCAGCCTAAGTTTTCAGCACTAGCAATCCACCCGCCTCAGCCTCCCAAGTGCTGGGATTCTGGGGGCAGCTGGGGAGCCTGGCCTGGTGTGGACTCCTGAGCCCAACCTCCAGAGGGTGGTGGATTCTGCTTGTTTCCAGGAGGCCTGACCACCTGCATGTTCAGCCAGGCTGTGCTCTCCTTGCAGTGGTCCTTGGACCATGAGGTGAGAAGACACTGTTGAGTTGAGTAGGGGGCATGTTATTCAGTCTCCCCGCCTGGAGCTTAGCTGCCGTCAGAACGTGGAGCATCTGGGCTGGGTGGGCTTTACTCTTTTCTTTTATTAGACTTAAATTCTCACTTGGTTCCCTCAGCCCCGTCGAGAGCCATCAAATCAGAATCTCAGGTTGGGGCCCAGGACCCTTGCATTTTAAATTCCCCCAGCTGGTGACTACCAAGACGGGATGGCTGGGATTGAATCCACAGTCCTGGGTATCAGGTGGACACTGGGGCAGTGTCCACACCGAGCTCGCCATCAGAGTGACTGCGGAGCCTGTTTGGCTTCGCACAGACATCGCTGCATTGCTCCTGGCTCTCCAGCCTCCGGATGTGACCTGGGCATGCAGACTTCTCAGAAGCCCCCAGAAGACAGTGACCATCCGGGTTTGGGAAGCGTTGCCTGGAGGGCAGGTGGTGGTTCTGCTTTGATTCCTGTGTCAGCTGCAGAGCCTGTGGACGTGTGAACAAATTCCCCGTGATGATGATGTTGTCATGCCCGCTGCGCTGAGGCCTCCTGGTTCCTAGGCCATCACGGAGAGTCGTAACCACTCACCGTCTGTTTTCTGTTTCAGGTCTGGAGTTCCCCTGGGGCCCTAAACCGTTCAGGGAGGTCATTGCTGGGCCCTTGCTGAGAAGTAGCGGGCAGTCCCTGGAGAGCAGCAGCCTGGAGGGCTCCCACGTGGGCGTCTACTTCTCTGCACACTGGGTGAGCGTTTGGCCCCCCTTTCTTTCGGACAGAAGGAAGCGGTGAGGTGGCCAGCAAGCCCAGCTGTGGCTGGCCTCTGGGGGTGAGATGGCCAGACAGGAGTTTCCAGCTTTTCCTGTGCCCGAGGCCTGCTTGGCAATAAGTGTTTATGATTATGAATGAAAAAAGCAGCAATAAATGACTTCTTTAGACGGGTCTATAACAATAGTCCACTTTTTTTTTTTCCTGAGACAGGGTCTCGCTCTGTCGCCCAGGCTGGAGTGCAGTGGTGCAATCTCAGCTCACTGCATCCTCCACCTCCTGGGTTCAAGCGATTCTCCTGCATCAGCCTCCCCAGTAGCTAGCATTACAGGCATGTGCGCCACACCCAGCTAATTTTGTATTTTTAGTAGAGACAGAGTTTTACCATGTTGGCCAGGCTGGTCTGGAACCCTGACCTCAAATGATCCGCCTGCCTTGGCCTCCCAAAGTGCTGAGATTACAGGTGTGAGCCACCATGCCCACCCCCTTTTTTTTTTTTTTTTTTTGAGACAGTGTCTTGCTGTGTCACCCAGGCTGGAGTGCAGTGGCGTAATCTTGGCTCCATGTGATGATGCACCCACGTGCATCATCTGCACCCTCCACCTCCCGGGTTCAAGTAATTCTCCAGCCTCAGCTTTTCAAGGAGTTGGGACTATAGGCACATACTGCCAAGCCCAGCTAATTTTTGCATTTTTAGTAGAGACAGGGTTTTACCATGTTGGCCAGGCTGGTCTCGAGCTCCTGACCTCAAGTGATCCCCCCACCTCAGCCTCCCAGAGTGCTGGGGTTACAGACGTTGGCCGCCGCGCCTGGCCTGGATATTCCTTTTAATCCATGCAGATGAGTCCATGCTGGCTGCTGCCTGCTCACACTGCACAGGGACAGTGTGGGCACTTGCGCTGGATGCTCACCTTTAAGAGAGGCATGTTTATTTTTGTCTCATCGTTCACTTTCATTCATTCAAGAGACTAGGTCTTGCTCTGTTGCCCAGGCTGGCCTCACACGCTGAGGCTCGAGCCATCTTCCTGCCTCAGCCTCCAGATAGCATGTCTCACGTCCACCCCTCTCGTGAATGGGATATTGCTGTCCCAATCCTGCTCGTCCTGCTCCCCTGGCCTCCGATGGTTAGTGGTGGGACGTGCAGAAGGGGCATCACAGCGGGTCTCACCGTCCTGCCTTTCAGTGTCCGCCCTGCCGAAGCCTCACCCGGGTGCTCGTGGAATCCTACCGGAAGATCAAGGAGGCCGGCCAGAACTTCGAGATCATCTTCGTTAGTGCAGACAGGTCAGTCGCATGGTGACAAGCCTCGCTGGGCCCCTTCTCTGTAGGTGGCTGACATCTTTTTTTTTTGTTTTGAGACGGAGTGTCACTCTGTCATCAGGCTGGAGTGCAGTGGCATGATCTCAGCTCACTGCATCCTCCACCTCCCGGGTTCAAGCAGTTTTCCTGCCTCAGCCTCCCGAATAGCTGGGATTACAGGCGCCCACCACCATGCCCAGCTAATTTTTTTTTTTTTTTTTTTGAGACGGAGTTTCGCTCTTGTTACCCAGGCTGGAGTGCAATGGCGCGATCTCAGCTCACCGCAACCTCCACCTCCGGGGTTCAGGCAATTCTCCTGCCTCAGTCTCCTCAGTGGCTGGGATTACAGGCACACGCCACCATGCCCAGCTAATTTTTTGTATTTTTAGTAGAGATGGGGTTTCACCATGTTGACCAGGATGGTCTCAATCTCTTGACCTCGTGATCCACCTGCCTCGGCTTCCCAAAGTGCTGGGATTACAGGTGTGAGCCACCACGCCCGGCCCCCGGCTAATTTTTGTAGTTTTTAGTAGAGACATGGTTTTGCTATGCTGGCCAGGCTGGTCTTAAACTCCTGACCTCATGATCCACCCGCCTTGGCCTCCCAAAGTGCTGATATTATAGATGTGAGCCACTGCTCCTGGCTGAGAAGCTCTTCTTGTCGTAAATACTGGAATACGTCCCCATTCAGGCCTGGATTTTTTGAGATGAGGACGCATCTTCTGATTTGCTCAGCTTTGTAGATTGCGGTGAAAAGACAAGGCAGGGGGAGGGTGGGAAGGAGCCGGAGACTGATGTAACCGGACACCTGTCTTGGGTGGCTGTTTTCTTAGCTCTGGCCATGCACTGTATGCGGTGCTGTTTGAATGCACACAGATAAGGAATCACAAAACAGGAAGGGCAGACATCCTGGAGTAAGTCAGGTCCCCCTCGTAAGGCCTCTCTTACCAGTGAGCTTCCTGCATCTCAAAACCCCCGCCCAGTATGGATGGAGTCGCCTGCTGCCTCTGCCACTTACGTTCCTGTTCACAGCAGGACCAAGATGCTGGCACATGGAGGGCACTTTGCCCTTATTCCATCTGCCGTGTCCACGCCATCCAGGGCGCGCTGTCGGCCCACAGTCCTGCTCTGCCATGCCACGGCTCCCGTCTCAGCCTGAAGCTGTGCCAGGTGCGGCTGTCAGTTTTTTTGAGACTGAGTCTCTCTCTGTCACCCAGGCTGGAGTGCAGTGGTGCAATCTCAGCTCACTGCAACCTCCACTTCCCGCGTTCAAGTGATCCTCCCACCTCAACCTCCCGAGCAGCTGGGACTATAGACACACACCTCCACATCCGGCTCGGCTGATTTTTGTATTTTTAGTAGAGATGGGGTTTTGCCGTGTTTCCTGACTGGTCCTGAGCTCAAGGGCTTAAGTAATCCGCCCACCTTGGCCTCCCAAAGTGATGGGATTACAGGCATGAGCCATCATGCCTGGCCACAATCATTTTTGAAAGCTTTAAGCTTCAACTTTATTGAACATAATTTATGTTATAAAATGCATGCATTTGGCCGGGCGCAGTGGCTCAAGCCTGTAATCTCAGCACTTTGGGAGGCCGAGGCGGGTGGATCACGAGGTCAAGAGATCGAGACCATCCTGGTCAACATGGTGAAACCCCGTCTCTACTAATAATACAAAAAATTAGCTGGGCATGGTGGTGCGTGCCTGTAATCCCAGCTACTCAGGAGGCTGAGGCAGGAGAATTGCCTGAACCCAGGAGGCGGAGGTTGCGGTGAGCCGAGATCGCGCCATTGCACTCCAGCCTGGGTAACATGAGTGAAACTCCGTCTCAAAAAAAAAAAAAAAAAAAATGCATGCATTTTAGGTTTACAGTTGAGTAATGTATGTGCCCATGTAATCACCACCATCACAGATAAGATACAGAACATTTTCGTCACTATGTAGGTTCCTTGGGTCAGTCTCTACCCATAAACCCCAGCTGCAGGGAACCCCCAATCCACCTTCTGCCACTTGAGTAGGTGTGTCTTTCTGAGGGTTTTTTACCTGTAGAATCATAGGTATATCGTTCTTAAATTTGTGAACCCGTGTAAGTCGCTGTTTCATGCACAAGTTAGAACTCTCATGGGTGTACAGTGCCTGTGTACATCGAAGCTCCCCTAGGCAAGTAAGACCTGTCTGTGCTGAGAAATGGAAAGCTGGACATGAGTTAAATTGCTGGGATGGGAGCTGTGAAGTGGCCTGGCTTCTTAGTGCGGACCTGCCTGCTGTGCCAAGGCATTTGCTTCTCGGTGGACACCAGCACACGTGGAAGAACACACCCCCGTAGCCTGGTGTCTGAGAAGCACAGGGGTTGGAAACTCCATCTGCAGAAACCCTAGGCAGAACTCGGGCAAGGTGGGAGGACTCAGCGGTGGTACAGGCGGGAGGACTCGGCAGTGGTCCAGGCCGGGAGGACTCCACGGTGGTGCGGGCGGGAGGACTCGGCGGTGGTGCGGGCGGGGAGGACTCGGCGGTGGTGCGGGCGGG